TTCATGAGTGAATACTTGGGTTGGAAAAAGGGATGAAAAGTATGCACAGAACTTTTGTTTAAGGATTATCTCTGTTTATATTTCATTGTAAAATACTATGCAAGAATTTACAAAAGACAAGAAGTTCTGTTTAAGAGGCTACAAGGTGAGATTAGAGCTATAGACAGATGTTACATTTTTAGTGCTACAAAAGTTGAAGGGACAGACAACTTCACAGTACTACTCAAATGGCAGAAATGCTACAAAAATGTTCTTGGATGAAACAGTAGCATCTTTCTAGTGATGTGTATTATGGCATGATATGTAACATCTGTCCAGTTACATGTAGCCCTAGAGGGGATCCTTTGGTTCTCCACCATCCCACAGTGCTCTGCTCTCCTGCCCTCCAACAGGGGGGAGAGAGAAAGCAAGGGACAGTTAAATAAGCATTGCCTTGGTGCTCAGAGCACTTAATAACAGTCCAGGGCACCAAGGCGGCAGCGGGGGGGGAGGAGAAAGCAAGCAGAGCTACAGCTCCCCACTACAGGAAGTATGCAGTGAGCAGCAGGTCCTTCTGCTGCCTTCCCACAGTGCAGACTCAGAGAGAAGATGACCCTTTGCCAGAAATGCTGGGCTGCTCTGAAGCCTGTTGCAGCCCTTGATCCAGAAACTGCAGCTCTTCTTGCCCCCCCACCCCCTAATACCAGCATAAGGCAGCAAAGACTGCTGCCCCCAGTACTGACAGCCTGCCTGATACCCCTTTCCAAGGGGCAGAAAGGGCAGGCTGTTGGTGACTGGGTACACTGACAGGCTTCTCTCATGGTATAGCAGGGGGAAGCAAAAAAACAACACCCTTGGCTGGAGGAAATGCCTTTTCAGGGACTCTATCATTCCAGTAGGTGGCTGTGAATGTATTTATATCCCTCATAATACTATAGGAGATCTTGTAGCACTGCAAGTGCATACATATTCACAGCCTAAGTAACAGATGTATTCCAGAGGGATTGATTCAACTGAATAAAAGCACCACCAACAAGTACTGGATTCTGGATGGTCAAAAGTTCTTGGTTTGAGATCTTGGTAACTGTGTCAGAAGATAAGAAATATAAGAAATCTACATTTAGATAAAATATAAACTAATGCCCTTTCTGAAGGGAAATTAGTATAGAGAGCTTGAGCCAAAGTTGAACTTCCTGGGCAAATATATGAAAATATGTGTATGAAATACAAAAAAAAGTCTGAAACATCCCAAATTGAAACAATATATGAGATAATTTTGAAGAAATAAACTCTGTCCTTCAAAAAATTACTGAGAAGGGTAGAATAAAAAAGTCTATGGAGGCTTTTTTGATCCAGTCACTGACCACAGACACTTCATTTTTGAGAAGGAAGGAAATAGTATAGAGGAATAATAATAAAAAATGTAAAGAACTTAAACATGGACAGAAAAATCTAGGTGCAAAATTCAAGATTAAATTACATAAGAACTCACAATACAATAAAACAAGAAAAGACTTCTGACATAATTTTGCTCTCCATGTAGCAAGGTATTATAATGTTCAAAAGGCAGGTAGGTTATACTCCCTTCTCTATACAGTGCTTGAGTTGCATTCTTTTTTGTGTATCTCACTGCCCGAAAACACTGACAAACTGAAGGTTGTGACAGAAGAGCAATTAAGAAGAAAATCTTGGGTAAAAACTGCCAGATAATGAAATTTATTAGAGGCAGCATGGGATGCAGGAGGCAGAGGCAGTACAGGACAGGCATCACTGAGGGTAATGGCTGTAATGTCCAATTCCAACCACAAGTACAGTTTTGGGACAGAGTAGGAGCTGTTGCAGCCACCTGTCCTCACCCCCCAGCTTGTACTCGAATCCAAGACAAGGGGCTTTTTATCCCCATGTTGAATGGGGGGGGAACCTCATCTTTGATTCAAGTAAACACAGTAGATGATTATGAGCAAAAGAAGAAGGTATTTAAACCACTATACATATAACTTATACATTATGTCCAAATCATCAAATTGGTTAGTCTCTCTAAAACTATATTGGGTAGTCTATTAAAAACTATGTATTAAAACATCTAAATCTGCTGTTTCAAAACTGATCAATCTTTTTTCAGTGTCAGTCCACCATATTTTTACTCCATTGTTTCTTGAATACTAATATACATATTTCTACTTCCTTTTTATTCTCAGATAGCCCACTGGTGTGATATTGCTGTCGAATGATACAACAGCAAAAATCAGCAGTGAAGTAAACTGGTATATTGTTTAAGGCTATGTTGATTGCTGAAAACATAGATGAGTTTGTGTTAAACTATCCAGCTGGTTTTACTATAACTACAGCCAGTATGTTAAGTCATGAGTAATTCATCTCATTACTTATAAAACTAATATGCTTTTTAATATCTAGGCAGAGAACAAAACCTTATTAGTTATGTATATGTGAGTGTAACCACACACACAGTCTCCATATTTTAAAAGTTGCTTACTTCAAAATATTAATATTACAAAATAAATGCTACAGTTTAACCTACCTTTGATACAAATAAATAGTTCTTTAATGCCATAAAAAAGAATAAAATGTTATCCATGGTAAAAAATGGATAAAATTGGGTTTAAAAAAACCCAACTCTGGGTAAAAAAAAAAAAACATGACACATATACTAAAAGCCCATAACAATGCTGAAGCAACTCAACATCTTTGTCTTTCCCAAGTATGGTAGATATATCCTGGGTTGTATCTACATTTCTAAATTTATTACCAAATTGTATTGGTCTATCTAACTATCTGTCTGGTTTTTAATTTAAATATTTATACCTATTAATAATTCCCAATGTTATGCTATGCCATGCCATGCCATGCCATACCATCAGAATGAAAATTTAAGACAGTCAATTTTATGTACATGTGTATTTAATTATATGGTGTATATATTTTCTGATACTGTTTTTTGTTATTAAGGTACTACTGAAGAGCAAATATGCCATTATGCTAGACTCAGCTATGCTAGGCACTGTATAAACACACAAACAAAAAATTAAAAAAAAGAAAGGAGACATAAAACCATCTATGTTTTTCCCGCAACCAAAATATGGGTGTCTTTGATAGGGTACACTCTTCTCACCCGCAGAAATTCTGCAAAGGCTAGTGTAGCTTCAGCACTGCAATAATCCTGTGACCTCCATATAGGAATAAAAGACAGACCAAATGTGCACTAAGCTTCATGAATCATCACCATCATACCTTCCCTCCCAAAGTGATGACAAAGCTGCTTTCTACTTTCACTACTTTCTTGTGAAATAAATAAATGGTAGAGCTTTGCCCCAGCTAGCCTCTACCCCGCCAAGACCCACAGGATGCTGGTCTGCAGTGACATTGCAGGGACAGCCTCCAGCATAAGATGCATGCAGTGCACCATGGTGTGGAAGCACAAGTAGCAGTTGGGGCACCACACGCTGTGCCACACTGCCGGCTGTGGCTTTGGCTGCGGCTGGGTGAACCAGCACCGTGCTCCACAGCAGCATCATGAAGCTGAGCGCCACTCTGGCCTAGGCCAGGCTATGGACAGCAGGAGCAGGACGAGGAGTGCCAGGTGGTTTCCATCCCACCTGCTGCTCTGGCAGCTCTGACTCATGCAGGTGGTGGTAGAGCAAGTCCAGCCCTAGCGTGGGCTGGAAGGAGGAGGAGGGAATGCCAGTGGCACTGCCCCATCCCAGGCTGGGGCTCTCGCACTGCACTAAACAACCTAGCCACAGCTCCCCACCCCCAAGCAGCATTTCTCAGCTGGCCCACCCCCGCCCCCAAGAGCACAGGCACCAGCCTCCAACACCACTGGCCAAGCCAAATAGCTCCCTGGTACCCCCAAAGACCACCCACCTTACCTCCAGGCAGGCCCCACTTGCAATAATGTGGAGCTAGGCTCCCCAACAGCACCATGCACTGCCTAAGAGCTCTGTGCCCTGCCACAGTCCCAGCACCTGGACACCTTCCCCCCAGGGCTGACAGGCAACCACACTATGTCATGGGGCTGTGTCAGGGGCACTCCCCCCCACGCCCCCCCCCCACACACACCCCACATGAACTCCCCACACACAGCCCCCCAGATAGTCCCCAAGCCCTGGCCCTCCTATCCCATCCCCCCGCCCCCCATCCCACAGACTTACCTGTATCCAACTGCCAGGCTGCACCCACTACCCTGCCTGGTTGTATTGATGGCCACACGCATGTGTGCACAAATGTGCACACAGCACCCCCTACCTCCGATCACCCTCCTCCCACTCCCTCTAGCCCAAAGCATGCAATTTAGTACTTACTTTTGGAAGTACTAAATCAGTGTAGTAACAATGTTGCCATAGCAACACGTGTACCTAAAAGTCTTCTCATAATGACCAGAGGGATATTTGCAGTCTTTCAGACATATCTCAAGGATACTGTCTCTTACTTAAATTTCCCCACCCTGAGGAATACCTTTCTTTGGATGGTCTGTTGGCAGATGACAATTCTGCTCAGATCTCTGTTTTTACAATGTAAATGTGTCATTGCCTGGAAGGTCTGGGCTCATGTGGTGAGAGCGTGCCCACAAGGGTGGCAAGTAAACAAACTCACATCAAATGCTAATTCTTAAATGCTTCTCCTAATTGTGAATAAATGAGGAACACCTGAGTTAACCGCCGCCTTACTAAACTTCCTTGGATAATATAACAATATATCAAAATTACATCTATATCAAATACCATAATTCATATAAACGTAAGGGTGACAATCTTGAATGCTGCTTGATCCTACCTATACATAGAAACTACATATGCCATATTAGTAAAACAAGCTCAAGACAAAATGCATAACACCCCACAAACCCCAAAATACTGTAGGTTCATGACAGTTTTCTTTCTGTGTGATAGCATAAATACTGATACCAACTGCTGCTTATGTGAAGTAGGCTAAGTCAGGGTAGCTGTGAGAATTTAGTTTCACCATTAGTGCAGTATGCAAAGGCCAAAGAAAATAAATCTTACCTTAAACAAGCAGCGGCAGACATATTCATACACCATGTGTGTTAAGGAGCTAATAAGAGACTTGATTCTTTCTTCAGTACTTTCTGACTCCTAAGAAAACAGTAGTTTGAACATAAAAACTTCAACTGGAAATAAAAATCTGTTTTTGTGTACTTGTACAAATAGCTGACACAGTTAGGCTGAGGATCTGCCTAATTTTTCAGAGCTTCTGAGTACCCAGATTTCCCGCTGAACTCGCCTGCTGTTCCCAATGATTCTATTTATGTCATTAATATGGACCGAGGCATTTATGTTTAAGCACTCCTATACAAGCATTTGGGCCTAAGTCATAAAAACAGGCTGAATATTCACCATACCTGTGAAAGATTTCACAGGATCTGAACTTCTGACCAGCTGAGCAAAACCTATGACATTTCCTGCTGCTCTACTTAGATGCTTTATCATGGAACCCAGGTGAACCAACAGCCCAAAAGACTGAATTTCTTTCAGTCCAGAGAACAAGTACACCACAGACAGCAACACCACCAGTTTCTCCACTGCCAGATCCTACCTATACGTAGTTTCTTCACACTGCTGCACTCACAGGATTTATCTTTTCCCTAAAGGAACTATATCTAAAAGTGACAGAATAGCTTATTCTCTATACTTATTAAAACCTTGATTTTCTAGAGCCTGCACTTGCTAGTAATGTGTTTTAACTGTGGACATATTATTTTTAGCACCATTACAAATAATTGGTGTAGCACTCAGACAGTCAACTGGGTTGGGTAAAAGAAACAGCCCCACAAAACTTTGCATTCCAAAAAAGAGAAAACACAACCGGGAAGTGAAACAAATAATGTGAAGGCTGAATATCGGTGACATATGAAAACAAAAAACAAAGATGTGTGCAATTCTTTGCTAGGCAGAAACACAACTTGTCCTCTGCCTAGTCATCATCAAGGTGTAGTTTGTGGAGAATCATCAAGGCAAACATTGTGGAGGAGATGAGTTTTAAGTATAGACAAGAAGGAAGATAATGTGTCTCTACAGACTGACTGATCTGACAGGGAGCTCTTTCCACATAATAATAGGAAGCCTGGAAGAAAGTATGAAACTGCTGGCTAGAGAAGCAGAAAATTAGTCAATCAAGGTTGGAATCGCTGGCAATGGCAGGTGTCAGCCTTATAATAGGATATAAGGATAGACAGGTAGGATGGAGTTAAACTGTGAAAACCTCAGAAAGGAAGGATAAAGAGTTACTGTTTGCTAGTACAGGAAGAACCAATGAAAGATCTTAAAGATGCAGTTTACATAGTGAAAGCAATAACCCAAAAAATAAATCTGAGCAGCAGCATTTTGAATAGACTTGAGAAGGGAGGGCTGCAGGCCAAGACAATGGAGAATAAAGTAACCAAGGTATGAAATGATCATGGATGTCTGTGAAAAGTACAGATCAACAGCTGTGTTGCAGCTCAGTTGGACAGTTTTCAAATTAAAGAAAAGGTATATCTCCTCTGTTAAGCCAAAGAGCATTTTAGAATTTCAAGACTTTCTTTATTCTGCCCCTTACTTCGAGAATTCGCCTAATTCATGGATTACTTCAGGGGTGCTCAATTTGAGGCCATGGGCTGCATGTGGCCAGCAGAGCCTTGGAAACCACCCCACAGGGCTCCCCAGAGGTTGGAAAATTTGGTGGTGTGGGAGCAGTGGCAGTACTGCCACTCCTCCCTGCTGCCAAAATCCCAAGCCCCATGCAACGGGTCAGAGCCAGGCCAGAATCCTCCCCCCACCCGGCTGAGCTGGGGCCAGGCCATGCCACCTTTCTCAAGCAGGGCTGGGCCACAACCCTTCCCCCTGCAGGGTTGGGCAATGCCCCCTCCCCAGTAGGGCTGCACTGGGGCTGGGTCATGCCCACCTCCCCCCTGCAGGGTCCAGTTGGGGCTGAGACAAGCCCCCTTCCCTTACACAGTTGGATTGGAGCTGGGCTGCCCCCTCTGCACAGCTGGATGGGGCCTCACTGCACCCACCTCAGGCACCAGATTTGGGACCACTGGCCACTAGTCAGCAGAGGGATCAGGCACAGCCCATCTGGCCCACTGAACAAAAAAGGTTGAGCACCACTGGAACAGGTAATTATCGGACAGCCTATGTTTAAATAAATAAAATCTCACAATCCTTATATGGAACCTTCATTTTCAAAACTTACTTTAATCTTAGAAAAGCCATAAATTACAAATGCATGTTCACTGTGCCTGCTTTTTCCTCAGACCTAAAGGAGAATGCAGGGCATTCAAAAGCTTGTCTAAGTCTATCCCAACTATGCAGTTGGTCCAATTAGAGATATCAATCACAAAAATCCTTGCCTCCCACATATTACCTGAACCACCATGCCTGTAACATCACTGCAACACTACCAAATGGATGTTACTTTGTTTTCCCATGATGCAGCAAAACTATGGCTCATGTACACTGAAAATAAACATATTTTCTTTATACGCATTCTGAATGTCCAATATTCAGGTTGAAAAAACAATGTAAGCATTCATTTTAAGTTACCGTTTAAAAACAGCCAGAGCGAACAAGAATTGTAAAGACCACAACCAGAACCACAGACTGATTTCTCTTCTGCATTCACAGCTGCAGGACAACAGGACATACCTGTTTGTTTTGCAAGGCCCTTTGGAAAAGCCGTAGGAAGGCAGCCAAACTAAAACGGTACATATTATTAATTTTGGACAAGTCAGAGATAATAAAGTACATCTTGCTGGCACTCTCAGCTAGAGGAAGGTAGGCATCCCTCTCCTATGGATAAAAAGAAACAATATTCAGAATTGGTACTTTACTGCCATCTAGTGGTCACTGGATACTTAGGCAACATTGATAAACCACTCACATGCCTTATAGTACTTGATAGCATATAATAACAATTTTGATTAAACTCCCAGAGTCTTTACTTACAAAAGCACTTTGAAATCCATTACACCAGAAACTGTCCACTTGAGAAATTAACATTAAAATGCTCACTTGTGATTCTATAATTAAAATTGCATTTATAATGTTATAATGAACCCTAAAGAATTGTATGCTTAGCATTTTTGTTTTAAATCTTAAATTTTAGTGGCATTTACTCCAACTCTTAACAATCACTTGAGGCTTGAAGTTTAATATAAAGCATCTTAGTTCAAAATTATTGTCCTTTTTATTTTTTTAACATTTTAACATTCAAGTTTAAATTTCTGGGGGATTTGAAAACAGTCTTCAAGTACCTGAAGGGCAATTGCAAGGAATCTGGAGACTATTTTCTGTGGCCACAGGGGGCAGGACAAGGACTAATGGTCTTAAATTTTAGCAAGGAAAATTTAGTCTGGATATTAAGAAATTTCTCAGTCTATGGATGGTTTAACATTGGAGCAGATTACCTAAACAGGTTGAATGTAGAATCTCCATCCTTGGAATGTTTAGATATAGAGTAGACAATCACTTGTCTGGAATGGTTTAGATAAGGATAATCCCACCTTAAGCAGGGGCTTGGACTAGGTGACTTCTTGAGGTCCCTAACCATATATTTCTGGAAATCTATTATTCAAGATTAGTGTGTTCATTTAAAAACAGAAAGCATAATAATTTTATTCCTGAACATTTCAAAAAACACCCTGCTTCAAAGAAGAAATTCAGCACAAAACTAGACAAAACCTTATGTCTATATGTAAGATGAAGTCTTGGTCTCACTGAAGTGAAAATCAAAACTGTGATTAACTTTAATGTAGCATGGCTTTCAGTGTGGATTTTCACAGAATCGTAAAATAGCTGGCATTGTAAGTGACTTCAGGAGGTCATCTAGTCCAACACCCTGCTCACAGCAGGATTATGCCTAATTAAACAACTCAAGTCAACCTGCTCTTGAAAACATCAAAGGATGAAGATTTCAAATAAATATAATATAATGACCACCACTCATATTCGAGAATGACTACTACTGATATTGGAAATCGGTTTCCATATGTAGGGTTCAGGAGACGTGCAAGGGCAAGTTACTGTCTACGTTCCCCACTACTGTCGGCCAAGGTGGCACAATGATGTTCTGTTACTCGTTCTGCTTCCTTTGTAGCAGAATGCCAAGCTCGCCTATCATGGGCTATATCCTCCCCAGGACATTAAGTCCAGTCCAGCAGACTGTATGTGCTGCTTAATGCCATCCTTGTAGCAGAGTTTGGGACAGCTAACCTACCTACTGCCTTTTTCAAATTCACCATACAGACCTCTCTTAAGTAGTTGATTGTTGTCCATGCGTATGACGTGGCCAATTCAGGCCATTTACTTTCATGCTAGCATGGCTTCCACACTAGGCATAGCTGCCAGTCATAGTACTTCATTGTTGTGATTTTGTCAAACCATTTCATTCCCATTATGTGGTGTAGGTGGCATTGTTGCAGGCAGTTACTTTTTTGATGGTGACAATAAAAGGGGCAGGTCTCTAACTAGTATAGAAGACAAAAGAGCACAACAGCTCTGTAAACTTGGCATTTTGTAAACATTTCAACCCCAGTCTTGTCCATAGTCTTTTTTGCAGGTGACCAAAAGCTGAGGCAGCTGACTAACCCCACGGGCTACAGGAAAGACATCGAGATGAAGATGCCTACATGAAGATTACCCAGCTGAAGAAATCTGTTCCAAAGCTTAACCATCCACATAGTGAAAAAGTTCTTCTTAATGGCAAACCTAAATTTCCCCTGATGCAATTAAAGACCATTCCTCTTTGTCCTATCCCCTGAGGCTACAGGGGATAGTCTATCTGCATTCTCCTTATAACCACCCTTCAGATATCTGAAGACAGTTACCAAATCTCACTTCAGTTTTCTCTTCCCCAGACTAAATAACCATGGTTCTTTCAGCCGTTCCTCATAAATCATGTTTCCCAAGCTTCTAATAGCTGTTGCTGCTTTCTGCTAGACTCTTTCCAATTTGTCCACAGGTTTCTTGAGGTGTGGGGCCCAAAACTGGACATACTACTACAGATGAGAGCTCATCAGCAGCAAATAGGGAAAATCGCTTCCATCTGTTTGCAAGTGACCTTCTATTACTACATTCCCAAATGCTCTGTATTTTTTTTTTTTCATAACTTGGCTCATTCAGCTTATGGTCTGCTGTAATTTGATGGTGACAATAAAAGGGGCAGGTCTCTAACTAGTATAGAAGACAAAAGAGCACAACAGCTCTGTAAACTTGGCATTTTGTAAACATTTCAACCCCAGTCTTGTCCATAGTCTTTTTTGCAGGTGACCAAAAGCTGAGGCAGCTGACTAACCCCACGGGCTACAGGAAAGACATCGAGATGAAGATGCCTACATGAAGATTACCCAGCTGAAGAAATCTGTTCCAAAGCTTAACCATCCACATAGTGAAAAAGTTCTTCTTAATGGCAAACCTAAATTTCCCCTGATGCAATTAAAGACCATTCCTCTTTGTCCTATCCCCTGAGGCTACAGGGGATAGTCTATCTGCATTCTCCTTATAACCACCCTTCAGATATCTGAAGACAGTTACCAAATCTCACTTCAGTTTTCTCTTCCCCAGACTAAATAACCATGGTTCTTTCAGCCGTTCCTCATAAATCATGTTTCCCAAGCTTCTAATAGCTGTTGCTGCTTTCTGCTAGACTCTTTCCAATTTGTCCACAGGTTTCTTGAGGTGTGGGGCCCAAAACTGGACATACTACTACAGATGAGAGCTCATCAGCAGCAAATAGGGAAAATCGCTTCCATCTGTTTGCAAGTGACCTTCTATTACTACATTCCCAAATGCTCTGTATTTTTTTTTTTTCATAACTTGGCTCATTCAGCTTATGGTCTGCTGTAACCCCCAGGTCTTTTTCTGCAGTATTGTAGCCTACACAGTCCTTTCCAGGTCTATATTTGTACATGCAATTGATCAGTCCCAAGGGTAGGACTTTGTACTTGTCCTTGCTGAATTTTGTGTGTCCAGTTTATCCAGGTCATTGTGGACCCTACCACGACCCTCCAAAGTTTCTGCAACTCTACTCAACTTGGTGTCATCTGCAAATTTTCTAAGTGTACACTCAATCCCATTCTTCATATCATAGAATGGAATATCATTAATGATCATTACTGTGCAGTAAGCGGGAACAGGCCAACATCTACCCACACAGGCGTTAAAGCACATTAACACTGTGTGTGTTGTAACTTGGAACTAAAGTTAGTCGCCTACATGTGCATCTACTTAGTAAGATGTCTATATGTACGTTACTGCACAGTAACTAATTGGGTATAAATTTGATACCTGCATGATGCAGGTATCAAATTTATGCCCAAGACAGTGTAAATCTCCATATTTACTGTGCAGTAGGGGCATACACATGTAGACACACACCTGTACTGCACAGTCATTTCAGTTACTGCACAGTAAATGCACACATGTTGACACACAACTGATGAGATCATTGTGCTCAGTGATTATCTGTTTTACAGTACTTTGATCTTGTCTTTATTCTCATTAATAATCTAAGGAAATATCATGAGAGAGAGTGTCAAAACTCTTGCTAAAGGCAAGGTATTATCATACCCACTATTCTCCCCGCATCCACAGAACTGGTCACCTTATCATAGAAGGAAATCAGGTTGGTCAGGCATGACTTGCTCTTGCTGAATCCACACTGACTGTTTCTGATCACCTTGTTCTCCAGGTGCTCAGATATATATGATTAGGTTCATATTCTTTCCTCCTTCCTTTTCTTAATCATGGTCACTATGTTCATCCTTTTTCTAGTTATCCAGGACTTCACTCTATCTCTATGAGTTCTCAAAGATGATAGTTAATGGATCTGAAATTAGCTCAGCCAATTCCTTCATTACTCTGAAGGTACATCCAGTCCAGGCATGACTCAAAAACATCCAGATTATTTAATCCCTAACATTCTCCTGAACTGCTTTGTTGAACATTTTATAGCCTGCTTATCTCCTCCTGTCCTTGCTGCTAACTGCATTTTTCATCTGGCAGCCAACCTTGAAGTAAAAAAAGCATCTAATACTTCAGCCTTCTCCTCATCAATTATTTCTGGATTGCATCCTTTATTCAGAATGGGACCTACATCTTCCTTAGTCTTCCTCTTACTTCTGACATAACCATATTGCTTTTTTTTTTACTGAATTTTACAGTGCTTGCTAGTTGCATGTCAAATCATGCCTTGGCCTTCCTGATTTTCTCCCTGAATGCCCACGCAATACTCTTATACTCTTCCCTAGTAATATGGCTAAGTTCCCCTGTTTTTTTGTAGGATTCCTTTTTAATTTCAGCTCAGTGAAGAGTTCGCTGTTTAGCCAGACCAGCCTTCTGGTGCACTTCCTATTTTTTTTTTTTTTTTTTTGCATTGGGTTAGTTTACTCCTGCACTATTTTAAAGCCTCTTTAAAGTACAGCCAGCTCTCCCTCCTCCTTTTCCCCCTCAGACGTCCTTCCCAGCAGATCCTGCCCATCAGTTTCCTAAGTTAGGTAAGGTTTGGTTTTCTAAGGTGCATTGCCTGCCTGCCTTCCAACTTCATCACTGTGTGGTCACTGTCATCTAGTTATCTGGAACTTCACATTCTCAACCTTAGTGTGGTCACTGTCATCTAGTTATCTGGAACTACAAATTCTCAACCTTCCCTGCCATACAAGTGGTCTTCCTCTGGACCCTCTCAAGTCTATCAACATCCTTCTTGAAGTAGAGCACCCAAAACTGAGCACAGTACTCTAACTGTGGTCTGACCAATGCCGCATAGATGGGAAATATGATCTCTTTGATTCTATTAGTCATGCATCTGCTGATGTGGTTAGCTTTGCTAAAGTGTGGTTAGCTTTGCTGATGATTTTGTCACACTGACAACTCATGTTCATCTTGGAGTCCACTATGACTCCAAGATCCCTTTCCACTTCTGTGCTGCTGAGAGGATCACTTCCCAGCCAGTAGGTGTGCTGGATATTTTTGCACCCTAGGTGCAGCACTCTGCACTTGTACTTGTGGTACTACCTCCTGTACTGCCCACTTTTCTAACCTGTCCAGGTCTGCCTGCAATCGTTCCCTACCCTCCGGAGTGTGCACTTCACTCCACAATTTAGTACAGTCCGCAAACTTGGACAGAGTAGACTTCACACCCACATCCAAATCACTGATGAAGATATTGAAGAGTACATGTCCAAGGAATGAACCCTGAGGGACCGCACTACCCACATCATTCCAGGTTGATACCAACCCATGTACTACCACTCTCTGGGTGCAACCGCTAAGCCAATTTGCCACCCACTGAACCATGTAAACATCTATGTCACAGACTCTTAATTTATTTATGAGAATGGGATGAGATACCATATCGAAGGCCTTGCTAAAATCCAAGAAAACAACATCCACCTCTGCTCCTGCATCTAAGAATTTTGTGACCCTGTCATAAAACGAAACCAGATTGGTCAGGCATGATCTACCTGCTACGAATCCATGCTGGTTTCCCTGATGCATTATTTTTCCCATTGGTCTCCCATAAATATGATCCTTCATAATCTTTTCAAAGACCTTTCCAAGGATGGAAGTGAGATTGACTGGCCTCTTGGTTTTAGTATGGAATAGTATAAGCAGTATGGAGTAGTAGTCATAGGACCAGATGAGCCTCAGCAACCTTTCTATAACACCACGGATGTGGGCTCATGGCATGCAGCAAACCTCCTAAGCAAACAGGTCAGGCCAGCAGATGGATGCCTCTACTGGCCTCCCCCCCCCCCCCCCCCGCCCAACTGAAAGTCACCAGCACCAACACCCATCTCTTCCTCTTGGTGGCAGTAGTCCTTATCTCACCTGTTGGGGAGTATAGATTGGCCTCACACAAGAAGGAAACAGGCTCCTTCTCTTCCAATGTCAGGGATTCATACCTGTCCTCCAGCTGGACAGCTGCAAGTTCAGAGGAGGTGTGCTGTCTGCTTCCAAAGGTGACAAGCTGCCAGCTTCAACCTTTCTCAGTATATAGGTCTTCTTTGTCCTCAAATGCCTTCTCTGGCTGTCCCTCTTCCATGATTCTACAAGTCTCTTTGTGCATCAAGTCAATGAAGACCTCATGCTCACAGATGCTTCTGAGCCTAGACACCTCCTTCTTTAACTCTCTTACCTAGTTCCCGAGAGAATCCACCTGGAAGCACCTCACACTGCAAGCATTCCCCTACCTGACTGACATGTAGTTCTCAGTCCCTGGAAAGCTAGACCAGGACCTGAGTGGGAACATTGAAGGTCAGTGTCCCCCTTTCCCTCTGGACGGAGCCCACACAGCTACAGACAGAGGAAAACCAAGCACTGGCAGTGGATTTGGAAGTACAACTTCCTCAGTCTATCTTGGTGATTCTTTTTTCTATCTTTATCTCCTACTTCCTCTTCTGCTGCTTCTTCCTTTCCTAGAAATTCAGGGCCGTGTCACACATTCACTAGCAACAGTTGCAAATCATTTGAATGTCATGATGTATTAACATGAGTACATTAGGAGATAATCCTTGCTTGAAAGGGAACAACCCTGCAATGTCTTGAGGGCATTTAACAAGTGCTAAACTGCTTGAATGTACATTGGCTTGCGTTTTAACTGCACTTAGAAGTTGAACATGTGACACAACCCTCATTCTTCCTCCTTAGTTTACTTGTGCTCACCAAGCTTACAATGAAGAAAGGTAGCTGGTTCTAAATCCCACTCAAACTCCACTGGGTTTGCCGATTTCTGATGCTGCTCATTCCCGGTGTCACTTTTATATAACTTTATAGATCTTTAGACATGAGTGCTTTCATTTTAACTCAAGACCTTTAACAAAATAGCAAGTATAATTGTTCAAAAAATAAAATCAAATGACATGGAAATCAATTTATGTAAGATCCCTACCTATTAAAAGACTGGTCCATGGAATCAACAAAATACAGTACACAAGAGCAATAATGTCATTTCTTAAACGGGAAACAAAATAAAACTGCTTTAGGAAAACATAGTTACCTGATCAAGGAAGCTCTGAAGTCTGTGAGACTCAGAAAGTGACTCTTGGATGAGTGCACTACTTGCTTTAGTCTGATTCAAAGATTCAATTAGATCCTTATTTTCAAGTATATTGCCTTGTGATGTTGCAAGAGTCTGAAAAAAAATGTTTTCAGCATAAATTAAGCCATCAATTTACATTTAAAGAAACTACATTGTGTGTATAGGTTGATTGGAAAATAAGGCTGGAAGGGACCTCATAAGATCGCCCAGTCCAGTCCCCTGCTGAAGGCAGGATCATTCCAGACTAAGCCATCCCAGCCAAGTGTCTGTCTAAATCGCCCTTGAAAACTTCCAAAAATGTAGATTATACAGTGTCTCTAGGTTAGCATTTCCCAAATTTATGATAGGTGGGCACACCTTTTTCCAAATTCAAATTGGCAGCACACTTCACTCAGTGATCCACAGGCCAGATCCAGTCTGCGGGTGCAATCCTGCACAAAGTATTGGCCAAACCAAGTCCCAAGCCAGTGAAGACAGAGCCCAATCCAGTTATATGGAGCCAGATTAGCTGGAACCCAATTGTCTCTGTGTGGAACAGGTTCAGCTGGGGCCCAATCCAGGTGTGTGGAGCTGGGACAGCCAAGGCCCCATCCAGCCCATTTTTTGGCAGCATATTTCTGTCGTTCTCACAGCACACTATTGTGCTGTAACACCTTTTTGGAATCACTGATCTAGGTAGCTTGTTCCAATACTTGATTAACCTCATAGAAAGTTCTTCCTAATATCCAACTTAAATTTTCCCTGGTGCAGCCTGAGGCTATTGCTCTTAGTCTTGTCCCTTATTGCCACAGAGAAAAGCCCATCTCCATCCTCTCCATAACGCTCCTACAGATATTTAAAGACTGTTATCAAATCCCCCCTTAGCCTTCTCTTCTCTAGATTACATAACTCTAGTTATTTCAGCCTTCTTCATACATTTTGCCTCCCAAGCCCCTAATAACTTCTGCTGCTCTACGCTGGACTCATTCCAAGCTATCCACATCCTTCTTGAAATGTGAGGCCCAAAACTGGACACAGTACTCGAGGTGAGACCTCATCAATGGCATATAAAGCGAAAGAATCACTTCCATTGATTTGCAAGTGACCCTCCTGTTAATATAACCTCAGTTTTGCAACAAGAGCACACTGGGTGCATCTACACAAGATGCTAACTGTGCAGTAGTGTGCCAGGCAAAACCCACACTAATAGGCTACTGCAAAGTAGTATTAGGCTACCGTGCAGTTAGAGTTTGTAAAAACCTAGAAGCTGGCTGCTATCCAAGTACTAAATGTGCAGTTACTACAGTGAATTAATAAATGCGAAGACGCACCCACTGCTGGCTCAAATTCAGCTTATGCTCTACTGCAACTCCCAGGTCCTTCTCTGCAGTACTGAAGCCTATCCAGTCATTCCCCAGTCTGTATTTGTGCATTCAATTATTCCATCCCAAGTGCAGAACTTTGCACTTGTCCTTGCTGAATTTTATTCAATTGACTTCAGACCATTTCTCCAGTATGTCTAGGTCTTTCTGGATCCTAGCCCTATCCTCCAGTGTCTTCAACTCTACCCAACTTGGTGTTGTCTGTAAATTTTCTAAGTGTGCACTCCATCTCACCATCCAAATCATTAATAAAGACAGTAAATAATACAAAACCCAGGACAGACCCCTAAGGAACGCCACTTGACACCTCCTAGACATTTGACACCTCCTTGACACCTCCTAGACATTGAGCCATTCATTGAGTACTATTCATTGAATACAATTTCCAACCAGCTATGTATTCACCTTACAGGACTTTCATATAGCCTGCAGTGCCTTAGCTTGTTAACGAGAACATCATGGGAGACAGTGTCAGTATACAATATGAAGTTGGAACCCCCAATAAAAGAATTTGTCTTGAGAAGACAGAAGTTACTTTTACCCTCCCCAGTGTCTGTAATATATTTGTCAGCCTTGGAATGGATATAAAGAATAATAGGATAAGTGTTAAAACTGAAACATTACGTTAGTACAGCCCTGCCCAGAAAAACAAACAAACTAATCTACATAAAAGATGAACTAAATACAAAAATTCCTGAATGCCCAGTTCTTAGTTGCTAGTATTCAATGGACTTTCAGGAAATGATTGCCTTATGCAATGTAAGACGTTTATGTATTCCTTTCAAAAAGCCTCAAGGTCCAGGAGATCTTTCTAGTTTACTCGCCTTCCTTTCATCATTTTAATCTGCACTTGTCATTCTTTTATAGTCTGGAAGATTCCTTGGAAGCTTATACCTAGTCACACAGAATATAATTCCCTAGCTAAAGAAACTCTAGTGTCATTACTCTATATCATTTACTGTTTTTCACTCCTGCTTGCAGGTATTACTTATACGCAAATAAGAGTATTTCAATTTGCAGTGACAGCTTCCCTTTAGAGTCCCTGTGAGTGTTTTGGAATTTTCGGAATTTTCCTGGGCAAGTACCTTCCTTTCAGATTAATCTAGTATGAAACACAGAATGGTTGACTTTAGCACGAGTCTCTAGAAAAATAATTACTAAATGATTTCTTTCCAGAAGTAATGTTTTCCTCAGTCCATCTACTGGTCATAATTACCACGCAGTAAGGAACAGACTTGTGGAAGACAGTTACAGTCTGGAAAGAAACAAATAAACCCATCTCTGCTTAAGAGCAAAGTTGCTATAAGTTTACTTCAGGACTATCACTATAGCACCTTCCTACCAAAGAGATTTTTTTGTAAAGGATCAAAAACTGACTTCATAACCCTTGATGAAATTAACACTGGGAACCACAAACTTGCTCACTTCTGCTAAATCCAATGCTCTTTTTGCCCAGGCTGTTGTCAGTGACATCTCAGAATTTGTCATAATGCTACCACTTATCTGATGCTGACTGTGCCCAAGTCCCTTGAGAATGTGGATATTGCTGCCTAATGGGGTATGTTACCAGTAATTGATCCTAAGTAATTTCAGAGTTCTCCTTGACCTTTTTAGGATTTGTGGTCTAGAAGTTTCAATAAGAAAAAAATCCTTCCTCTGATAGGTCTAGAAGTAGTATGGGAAGCAGCAGCAACAATTTGTTTGGGGGTTTACACACATTTCTCTTTATGTAGGTGAAAGGCTACATTTTCCTTAAACTTTTTATAATATACTTTGAATGGCTATCTTCTGTCTAAGATCTCTTGGCAAAAAAGTGACTCACTCACCCAGCCAAATATTGCACTCTATTCCTAATATAAAGGGACGTCTTCCTTGGAAGTAAGAATTCCTGGCGATTAGATAAAATTATAAAATGATTTAAAACATGGCATAGTGATTGGCAAAGCAAATAGTATCAAGCAAGGCACTACAAGACAGTCTTGAAATTCCTCAATGGGTTATTTGTGAAAAAAAGCTGCCCCTCTGAAAGATTCACCATTTCTTTTTCTAAGAAGGCTATGACACTGATGGCCTTAAGCAGACCCAGAATAGCATACTTCAATCTTGAATCCTGAATCTCAAATCCTGCTTCCTTAATGATCTTTTTTCTTAATCTTTTATGTTGGCAAGAAAAGAACAACTGAGGAAGCTGTGGGCCCATTGTTAAATAGACAAGGAGAAGTCTTAACAGAAGATGCAAAGGCAGAGCTACTCAACAGCTACTTTGCCTCAGTCATCACGAAAAATTAAGATGCAGCCAGACAGCTAGTATGGATTATTTGGATTAGGAAGGGGATAACCTGAGGGATGAGATAACAAAAGAAAGTCAAAGAACTTTTGATGGGTCTAAATGATTTCAGGTCAGCAGGGCCTGATGAACTTCATTCCGTGGCATTGAAGGAACTGATGGAGGAGATCTCAGAACCCTTGACAACAATATTTACAAAGCCATGGGAGATAGACAAGGTACCTGAAGACTGAAAAAGGACCAATATAATGTCTCTCTCTAAAAAAAAAAAAAAAAAAAAATAAGGCAAAAAGGAAGACCATGCTTGACACTATTCAGTTAGCCTCACCTCAACATGTGTTATGTTACGATAGCATATCATAAGGAAATCTATTTGCAAGCATTCGGAGTTAAAAAAAGGCTAATCACAAGCAGCAAGCATGGATTTACTGTGAACAAATCATGCCAAACTTGATCTCCTTTTTTAACAAGAAAATTAGTTGGGTAGAAGAAGGACATGAAATAGATGTAGTGTATCTGGACTTCAGCAATCCCAGGTAACCTGTCTGCATTTCACCAGCTACATTCCAACACCAGTTTTACATTCCTCCTTCCCCCATAACCACCTACCTGTCTCACATATTGCCTCCCATTTCCTCTGCTCCTCACTGACATGCATATGCATTTTCACACACCTGCATTTTGCATACTGGCTTCTATTCTACCCAGGAGAGTACACAAAACTCCACCAGACTCTCTTTATGCCTGAAGAAATATGTTTGTGCCCAAAAGCTTGAAAGAACAATTTCCAACTATTTAATTGGTCTAATAAAAGATATCACATCTGTCCAAAGAACCTTGTCTGCCTCTGGACTTCAGTAAAGCTTTTAACAAAGTCCCACGTGACCCTCACAGAAACAAATGGGAGAAATGTGAGCTAAACAGAACTACTACAAGGCAGATAGACAATTGGTTCCATAGCCACAAAGCAAGTTACAAATGGATCCATGTTAGAATGGCAAGAGTTTTCAAGTGTAGTCCCACAGTCCTGGTCACCATGGCTAGACATTTGAAAAGCCTGAGACTGAATTGATTCAATTTTTGCAGATGAGTCTAACACGGCTAGGTTAAATCACTTTGTAACTGCACAGACACCCAAAAATGCAGGCACGTGCCTGCAGTGACTCAGGCTAGAAGCCAAGGGGTGCTACAGCACCCCCCCCCCCCCGCCCCACACACACACTTCCCTTGAATAGAACTGAGCTGAGGGGGGCATGGCCAGACTCTGGCAGGATGCTCTGACCAGCCCAGCAGTGAATTGATAACAGTGCTCATCACCCCTAACTCAGTGTTTATCACTTCATTAAGAAAACAGCAGAGGGACATTACCAGCTACCTGTTGATTCTGCCTATTGATTCTACCTGTTGATTCAGCAAGGACTGTAGCCAGCATGTGGCCTGCTAGC